GCCAGTAGTAGAGCTTTTGTCAAAAAGTCAAATGTAAGTAGGAGTTGCACCAAATACGATGAACGAAACAGTTTTCCACTATGATGAAAATCTTCCACCGGTGTTCCGGCACTATACGTTTCAAAGTCGACATTTCGGAAATGAATATTTGGATATGACTTCAAAGCTTCGGTGATCGGCATCTCTGATTGATTGGTGGTGAAACCGGTTGGTGATGCAAATAAAATGAAAATTGTTCGATTTGGATTCAACTTTGCAGCAGATTCAACAGCACAAGCTTGCCTTAAAGTTAAACCAACACTTGTTTACGAATTTTCATCGCAATGGGATTATAAAGTGAATACAATACCTTGCGGTCATATTAATCATTTCATTTTTGAAACACGATGTCTCATGAAAAAATATCGATCGTTCTGGATTTGGCTGTATTTCTGCATTTAAAATATCGGCAAAAAATTCGATGTCATCCACATGAAAATCTTTTGGCGTTTGAAAGCACTTTTTTCCTTTTTCAATCTTCTTGTCAATTTTAATTGGTTTCAATAATTTTTCTGATGCTGTTAATTTCGTGGACTTTTTCCCCTTCTCAATATTCTCCTCAATTTCGATTGGTTTCATCAATTTTTCATCTGCTACGACCAGAGATTTCGTTGATTGAATGTCATTTTCTGATTGCGGCAAATTTTGCACGATAAAAACACACAACAGAATAAACAATAAAATTACACTCATAAATCGAATTCGACCAAATGCGTCTAGTCGAACCATTTTTTTTCACTAATTTTAATTCAATCACTTTGAAGAATTTAGAACAGTTTTGATAAGTAAGAAATACATTAGACTTAATCGATAACTGCTTGTCAACTAAATGGATTCGAGTTGCGAATGTCAAGTTACGCTCAGATTTTGGTTTATATTGCACATCGTTAAAATTGACACTAACCACAACTTTCTACTACAAACTGTGCATTTAAACAATTGTTTTAAGTTCACATAATATCGACTCCACGTACGATAATGCTTTTCCGATGAAGTATTATGCAAATCGTGATATATGCAGTTTTTTTCGTAAATATTTTGCACTCATATCTACAAAAAATAAACATTTATATGCAAACATATAAATCATTTGGTTTGACACAAAACTAAACACCTTATAAGTGTGTGTTTAAAAAAAAAACAGGCAAAACATTTCATATGATTTTCATACGTTAATTAGTGTAGAGGTCGAAACAGCTGTTTCAGTATTTTGAATAAATACATTAGCCAGACTATGGATGGAACATGTTCCAAGCTATGGTTGATTTCATTCCGGAAAATGCCAGTTGCTTAATCTTAAATTAATTATGCAAAAAGCAAAGTGTTTTTTGTTTGAAACAAATATTGTTAATGAGTTCTGAGATCTAAAAGACCTTGCGAATCATGAACACTCCAGAACAAAGATAAGGTGAAATTATAACGAAACAGACCAGACATTATAATGAGATATTTTCAGCCAGATGAATAAGCTCAGCCAGATATCGTCAGGAGCTGAAATCGAGTGAAAACAATAGGAGTGATTGTTATGGTTATAATTACACTTTCATTGCTACAATCACTATAACAATCACTTTTATTGTATTAACTCCATTTCAGCTCCTGACAATATCTGGCTGAGCTGATTCATCTGGCTGAAAATATCTCTTTATATTGTCTGAAACAGACATATTTAAATTCGATAAATATAATCAGAGAGTAGAAAACACTACCGCTATAGTAATACTATATTAACAATGCCTATAAATAGTTACTATTTGTACACATTTCGATTGTGTGACTACAACAATTTTTGCGAACTCTAATGTGAACAATGCGACTCTTTGTATTTAAAATCTACATACAAAGAGTTACCATTGTTCACATTGGAGTTCGCAAAAATTGATGTAGTCACACAATCGAAATGTGTACAGATAGTAACTATTTATAGGCGCTGTTAATATAGTATTACTATAGCGGCAGCGTTTTCTACTCTCTGGTTTGGTCAATATTGTCTTAAATAGTAATTAATTCATGTTTTCTCAGCGGTACATTTCCTAACTATCTGACATTTGAAATGCGATTTTTAATCAGAAGAACGCGACATAAAAATGGTTTTCCGACCAATTGGCAAATGACTAATTCCGCTAGCAAACATATATCCATTTCAAACACACACAAAACTTTTATTTAAAAAATTCAGTATATCCCTTTACTCCTTTCGATGTACACTGCAAGCGCTTGATAAATAATTCTGTTTCATCAATTCAAAAGACTATTGGCTGAGTATGTCTCGAAAATTTTCCGATCAAAATTCATCAAAGCATTCTGTTTTAAGAAAACGAATGTCGATAGAAACGGTTGAGTTAATGTTCAAGGTTTTTACATAAATAATCATATTTGGAATTACCTGCCGATTAATTACTTTAAACACGGAGTTTTTTTTACAAAGTTGTCTGGTGCTTTGAAATTTCTTTAATTATCGTCATATTTTCGATTAAATCAATATGATTTATCCTTCGGCAAATCATTTTTTCACAAAGAATTACATCAATAGAATTACCAACATCAAAAACACGAGAAATATTTAAAGGGATACGCATTTTCATCGAATATACAATGTCTGTAATTGATTGGTTTAAAAGTAAAATTTAAAAAACTTCGCATTTTATTGAAGATCAGTTACTTTGAATCAGGTAAATTTTGATTCGTTCCTTACAGAAATAACTAAACATATACACATTCAAGAGCCCAAAACAATTTAAGTTATGGCATGTTTGGAAATAGCATGGCTCGAAATTAATCTTGATGCGAAGAGAATGTTTGCAAACTATAAAATAAACAAATACAAAGTATAAAATTCAATGAATTATCGAATGTGGAATGTTTTTGGGAAAATACCATCAAATATATTTATTGGCTTTTGATTGATTTTTATCGTATCCATGCACGATGCAAAGCATCAATCATACTTGTGTCGAGAAAAAGTAACCACACACGCATACACGCAATACGAAAATACATTCAATTTGGGCGTTCAGGAAGAAACGTAACAGAGAGAAAAAAGTAATACGAATATTGATGAAGACATGAAAATGTGATGAAATGTCGATTCTTTTATTTTCATACTTTTATTTATGTGCGTTCAATGTTTTTTTTCATCATCCCCCTTCTGCTGTGGCGAACATAATTTATACGATGTCAACATTTTGTCAAACCAATGCGTCTTCCATTTATTTATTATTCCATCACTCAAACGCAGATGTTTTGAAGTGTCTTCATGATATAATATTCTGCATATTTACGTCCATGCACACGAAATCTACTGTTGTTACTACTCGCTTACACTTTAGATGATTATCACAAAAGTTGAATAGAATCACTTTTTTATACGGTACCGAGAGCAATGATAACATGTTTCATGACCTTTTCCGGACGTCAACAGAATCGGACAATTTGTTTTGAGTTGTAAAAAATGGCACTTTTCATCATCACTTTTGCGCTGTGGCAAAACAAAGTGCGACTAATTTATTATACGTTTTCACGTTGTTGAAGTGCAACGAACTTCAAATAAATTGAATGAAGCGAATCAACCAAAAATAAAAACTTTAAATTTTCTCTCCGCCATCAATTCGAATATTCAAATAATATGAAGAATGAAAAGGTATAGCTTCAGCGCAGTAAATTGATGAACCATTCTGTTTTCGTCACAGTTGAATTAACTGGTCAAATTGATCGATCGACTAAGAGAACGGAACCTATTTTGCATTCTACATTTCTCAAGTGACACTACGATAATTTATTTTGATTTGTTGCCAGGAAAGCAAACGAAAACCAGACGATATATAGAGGTATTTTCTTTTTGAAATAAAACTGAGTTCATCAAGTGAATTGCAACCAATTTCATAAAGGCCATTGAAACAGCGCAAATTCAATTTGTTTGGTTGCATTCATGCTGCGTTTTCAAGCATTTCAATGGAAACGACCGCTAGATCCAGAGTGTCTGGATTGCGTCCGTTGTTGGTGGTCATAGACACCACGAACCGCCACGAACTCTCCAGCACGTTTGGTGAGGTGAACACAAATGTAACTTGAATTCTGGTACTTGACAATATCATTGATGGCAATTTATAGCTGCCTTTGTCATGGTGCCGCATTCATTGAAATATAACGAACAATGCGGCGAAAAAGAGAAAAATCAGTCGATATTCTTTGTGCGTCGTCAATGGCACTGATTTAATATCATATACTCGTCTCGACTCGTGTTTGCCATTTTATTTTTTCTTGAGAAAAAAGACAAATTAAATCGAAATTGGAGGTCAATGCAACTGGTCGAGAACGGAATGAAAACCATTACATTGGATTAGTTCTCGGAAAATGTTTTATATTGTCGGAAGTTTACAATTATTTCTATTGAAAGGAAAAGAGCGACAACGATTGACAAAAGATATGTGGTTTGAATTAACTTTACTTGTTCGGGTCAAAATAGAACCTTTCATTGCTTATATCGATTGACGCAATTGCCCATGGCCGAACAACAATTTTCGATGCTTTTGTGCAGCCACATAATTCCACGAATTCGTAATTGTCAAGGGATACCGAGCGCCAATCAGTTTACTGATGAAATGTCAAAAAGCATCGATGAATTCCGCATATTTGGGGTTGAAGTGAACATTTTTCCGATCTAATTTACCTTGAGAGAAAAGTTCAAATGAGCATAACTATAAGTTGCCGTTGCCATAAGTGTATCGCGTGGAGACATTCAAAGTGAGTTTATACACCCCATTACATGTACTCTTCAGTTTACAGTTGAATAAATTCAAATCGTTTTCTTTTTATTTATGTTGCTCCAGATACGGTAACGTCCGAATCAAATGATTAAATATTTATTGGTATCCTCGTGAGGCCAATAATCAGTAATACTGATTCTAGTAATTACTGTCAGATTCATTCAATTGGAATCTCGCTTAATGACTATTTAATTGGTTTTTACCGGTGACATGTCGGATATATATATAAGTTTCAAAATCAATTTCAGAGCATTTATCGGCTCAAATGTAATATGATGATTGATGAGCATGAGTACCTCTCATACTATGCCAATAAGTAAACAAATGCAATGAATACCATTCCTCACAAGAACAAGTGGAAGAGTTGAATCGTTTTCCATTGGAGCTCTCTCGCACACACCAAACTTCCAAGTTTGAAAATAACACACTTGAATTTGATGCCAAAAATAAGTTTTAACCACTTTTCCGAAATAAATGTGAGGGGATTTGCTAAATTACCATTTATGTAAAATGCATTCAATGAGGCGATCGACCTGCCATGTTCTGGATTTGGTCCAATCTTTAAATCACTTTTCATTTGAAAATTCGTCCTACACAAAATATCCTACATGAAAATAATCCAAAACGATGTGGTTGTTCCAGCGTAAAAAAAAGGTAAAAGAGATGAACAGGTCAGGCAAAGAGCGATTAAAAATATATCACCATTTTAAATGGCTCGAAAATGGAAACATACAAGCTGAAATTAAAGACAATTAATTGCATGGAAATTGCTTGTTGTGCATACAAGGATTTGTGCCCATCATGATTTGATTGAATTTATAATTAGTTCATTTTACTGTGGGAAACAATTTCAACTTGGCGATGGATTCCAATATGATGGCCACTGCTAAGGATGATGGTCCAAATGAAAATATCAGTTCACAGCATTATGTATATGTGGACCGTATTACCATTAACATTGTGGTTTTTTCTTGCAAAATTTGATGTGCGGTCAACGAGAGAAATGAAAATTCAAGAATCAACATTACAAAATGCATTGGGTCATATAAAATGCTATGAAAATGCGTATTTAAATGGAACAATTTCACTCAAAAATGCATATGTATGCGGTTAAAACTTCAAAGATTACAAGC